TACTTTTATGATAATAGGCATATCTTTTCATGAAAAATCACAACATTTTAAGTGATATTTTTTTCCATAAAGAACACAATTATTTTGAACAAGTATATATATAATTTGGATATTTCATACTAGTCACACTATATACTAGTAATAGAGAAACTCAACAACCACAATACCAAATATACTCCAAAAATTTTGTGGGTATAACATAATACAAATGTATCATTGAATTTCATATCTTTTGCTCCAAAGTTATATTATATACCAAGTCTAATCATAAGCAAATAACCCCCACATTTCAAATGTGATCTCAAAAATATTTTTCAAGTATTTGAAAATAGTTTTTCCACATATTTTAATGTTGGAAACTTTATTCTACGAAAGAATGATAGTGCTGCAATTCTCTTTGACAATGTTTAGTTTATAGAAAATCCGAAGTACAATACTGACTTATTATGTGAAGTTTTCATTTTCTTCAAACCAATTGCATAGTCCAATTTATTCAGAATATAAAAAAAGTTTTTAGTCTACAAAAATAAGACACACTAACATTTCCCATGGAGTACAAAACTACAAAAGTTTTTTTTTCTCCAAACAGAATAACACATATTCTTTATCACATAGAAATATTTTTCTTATCAAATTGTCTTCCAACTATAACATTTTGACATACTATTTATCAAACAAAATATGCATCTCTCATTTTTGCAAACTAAAGAATTTTAAAAGCAACGATATTTGCGAGGTATAATTCATTCCACAACATATGATTTGCAGATCTTTTTTCAATGATACACATAATAAGGTAACGAATTATGGAGTCTACTTCCATGATCAGATTCTCTCAATCAGTAGAATACAAAAAATACTAACAGTATATTAATTTCCTTAAGATTGTTGTTCATCTTGTATCTCAAACATACATAGAACAAAACTTTGAACATCATTGTAAGACAACAAAGTTTAAGAATATTTTCACAACTAGAAAATTAAAACTAGTAGAGAAACTAGAATCAGAAACAGATTTAAGAAAAAATATACGAAATATTTTTTACAAAAAAAATATTGTTAATATGTGTCTAAATAATCTTACTGATTCCAATAAATTTTGCAAAAATACGAAGTTACCAAGTTTAATGAACCTGTGAAGAACAAAAGAATAGAAGAACTGAAATTAATTCACAAATATAAAATTTGTAAAGCATGTACAAGAATCTTGAAAATTTTCAATACGAAAAATATCAAGTCCATTGAACTCACAGTGTCCCCTTAAAGAAAATTATTCCCCTCTAGTATCCGAGGTTTGATTTGAAATATGACCTCCCAAGGTAAAATGATCTCAATCACCAGAGTATAGATACCAAAAACTCCGGTGTCAGCGAACCACTCAACAACAGTAAAGTACACTTAGAATACTAGATTTAGCAGTTGAAGAAGAAGTCCATGAATTCTATATTAAAATGAGAGGAAATCTCTCAATTTATAGAAACCAAAGGGTAGTGCAAAAAGGTTCTTATTGTGCCTTACCGGAAAGGTCACAAACCTTTGGAAAAGTCACAATCTTTCAGAAAGGTTGTCACCTTTCATAAAAGTCACAACTTTTCATAAAAGTCGTAACTCTTCATTTTCTATTCACACCATTTTTAAAACCCAACAGTGGATTCTGAAGAGGACACTAAAGGAGACCTAGAATAGGATCCCAAAGAGGACGCATAGGAAGATCCCGAAGAGCACCTTGAGGAAAAGGTCGAGGAAGACCACATGGAGGTTTCTGAAATAGGTTCTAACATTCCTCCATCTCTAGGGTTATATGGGTCATGATCTGAATCTTCTTCTGAATCCTTTTCCATTTTTTCAGTTAGCTCTCTAGAATCTTCTGTCGGTTCCTTCTCTGGGTACTCTTCGTGATCTTTCTTAGGGTTCACTTTCGGATCCTCTTTTGGGTCTTCATTCTAAACCACCTTAAATAATTTATGGATCCAGGAACTATCTGATTATACATGGGTATAGTGAATTCCATGCGAAAAAATGTTGATTCTCTAACCTAATAAATCCATTGACTGCTTACAAACCGCTTGGTCCTTCGTACACTTGGTTGAGTCAAATGACTCACAATAGTTCGTCAAGCGTAATATTCCGAGGTACACCAGCTTTCCTCTCTCATGTCTAAATCAACTATGTGTTCTCATTCGGCTTGCAAGTTTCTTATAGTCTCTAATGAGACTGAAGTGAAAGCATTCTGATGTAATCCCATGATCTACTATAGTGGAATGTCTTTAACAACTCCAAATTCTCGCATAACTCGAAGAGATGCATATGGTTGAATTCTCCTTAGCCCAATCAACTCGATAAAGAAAAAAATATTGAGTTCTTGCAAATGTCAATCCTCTTATCAAAGAAAACTTTCATTGGATGACATCTCCTGTAAGATTGTTCAAAAATTTGGGTCACTCTTCCCTTTCTGTGGTGCGCCCTCCCAATATCGGAGGTGATAGTCGTGGCTTACGTGAGTCTATACAATAATCCATCTATGGATCACAATGATAAAAATGTATTCTCGCACAGATTGTAACAACATATTGTATCCTCTAAAGAAGTTGTGCCCGTTGTCAATGATCGAAGTACCTCGGCGAGAATCATGGGTACCAAGGAATATTTTACAGATTGTTAAAAATGCTAATAACTATTGCCAATGTATTGACGTCAGGAGAATAAGACTTTACTGAAAATAGTGTGATTCCCAAAAAAACATGATAAATACTTTTGGCCTCAAATGTACCATGGTCCACGGGTACATGCAAATTCGTGTTGATGTTCATCATAACCTTCAAGATGCTTCAACCTTTGAAATAGATTGTCTAGCTTAATATTTCTACTGTCTACATATCTCAACGATGGAAATATATGGAGTTCCAGGAAACTTAGAAAATCGCCTGAACATATGGTTTATGGGATCATCAACAACCTTTTTCTAATCAGTAGTTCGGCAAAACTTCTGAACTCCTATAATGTGGGAGTGATCTAAAAATCTGATAATTAGAAAGTTATTGTGCTTGGGTCCCAGAATCCCATTAGCTAAGTAATGAAGACTTTGTCGCCTTGTGTCCCTAGAAGTGATGATAGAACACCTAAGTGTCCCAGAATCTCAGCTCCGTGTATTCTGTGGATGCTTTACCACTAATTTTGTAGGATATGTATCTCTCAAACAACCATTTCAATTTTCGGCAAGTTTTGGTTGATGTTCATCTTGAAAAAAGGTAAAGAGTGTGATAAGTTTATTTGCTCCAAATTTGTTAGGTATTTTAGTTTGGATCAATCATATTAATTTCACACAAATGTATGTCAATTAAAGAAAAACTCATTGACATGTAGATAATTTCCAAAACGCAATGATAAATCCTTATATTATCTTGCCTAAAGCTCTGCAACATGACTTATTATTAGAGTATGATTTTTTTCCTAACTGATTGAGAGTAGAATTGAGTAATTTATGGAAGATGTACTATCTTAACTCTACCAACTCTAGAACTAAAGAATCCAAAGAAAGATTTGGAGGAGTGCAGAACATATATTGCGTGTTCAGTGTGTGTTTGTGTACGACCAATGACTTGATAGAAAATATCAATGACTGTGTGAGGAAAGCAGTATAAATAGTGTTTTAAAACAACTAAGGAACAAGTTTGAATTTACTTGCAATCTTTCAATCAAAAGCAATGTATCATCTTGGTAAAGCAAACAATAAAGTGAAAATAAGCAAATAATCACAAAACTTACTCTTAAATTAAATTTTCTAAGGTTAAAACTTAAGTAAGTTCCCAGGAGAGTCGTTAAGTTATCGCACCCTATTTTCGAACTTGCTGAAATAGTTCACAACATAAAATAACTACTATGATTTTAAAAATTGTTTTTTTTAGAATCACCATCTAATTCTAAAGAAAATATTATAAAGTTCATTTTTAAATATGTAAATATAAACTCTGTTAATTTATGAAAATCAATAAAGTTCTGTGTAACAATTCTTTTTACTCGAGGGTAAAGGTCTTCTCATGCACTCTAATGTGGAAAGGATGATATATATTAGACTTTTCATGTTCACATGACATATATATATATAAATATACTAGATAGTGATGGCCGTGCTAAGCACGGGCCCGGCCCAACATTTTGCATTCTTATTAACTGAGAAAAATGCGCAATTAAGCAAATTTAGACAATTTAATTTCGCATCATAGTCATAGCTTGCTATAATTACCATGCATGACTAATATTATACAATAATTATGTGGGCTAATTTCGACCTTGTATAATTCGCTAGAATATACAAATACATATGCATAATATACAATTATCTAACCAAAATACATATATAATTCATCTCTCTCCCACTCTTTTCCCTCTCTCGTTCACCTCTCTCCTCTCTCTACCAATCTCGCTTGCCATATATATAAGTGCCTATATATAATATACAATTATCTAACATATTCATCTCTCTGCCCTCTGTCACTCGCCTCTCTCCTCCCGCTCCCAATCTCACTCACCTCTCTCCTTCCTCTCTCGATCTCTCTTGCCATATATACAAATACATATGTAGAATATACTATTATCTAACTTATATAAATATACACTCACCTCACTTCCATTCTTTGTCCTCTCTCACTCGCCTCACTTCTCTCTATAACATGTAACTACAAATTTTAATTATTAAACTATAGCTATAAAAAATAATTAAACTATTTTTGAGCGACTATATGTGAAAGTTCCCCCTATTAACAGGGAGCAAGAAGCATAATACGGAAAGTCAGATTAGTTTGGTTTTCACAAAAACATATAGCATTAAACATGAATTGTGTTTGGAGGTTCAAAGGCTTCTACAACCTCAAGGTTACAGGCAGAAATAACTTCTTGTAAAGAAAAGAAAAGCGTTGGTGCAACTTAACCTCGACCTTGTTGTCTCAAAAGTATTCTCAGCAGTTAGACCTTTCTTTCTTTTCTTTTTTTTTTGGGGGGGGGGGGGGGGGAGGGGTCAAACAGGACTATTTGCATAATGGGCTAACAAATAGAGTTGAAGTATCTTCATACTTAAAACGTCTAAAGAAAATCAAACCATACCATGTGTGTTAACAAAATTCTACTGAGAACCCGAAAAAAAAACTTCAAAGTTTAACATTTATAACAATACCAAACATAAATCCTCCAACAAACTAAATCCATAAGGAGTAGCAGATGCTATAATGCCTACATGAAAACATAAATGAAAAAATAACATAACCAAAAAGTCTCGAGAGAAAATTGCTCCAACATCAATCTCTTAATGATTAGCCTTGGCAACCCTTTCAATCTCGTTCTTCTTCTTAATAGCATAGCTATTTGAAGAACCCTTGGCAGCATTGATGAATTCATCAGCAAGGCACTCAGCTATCGTTTTGATGTTCCTGAACCTAAACCCAACAAAAAGGAATTAAAAGAAAAAAGGGAAAGAAAAGGATGTAAAGATATAGAAGATAAACATAAAAGTCCAATCAAGTGTAAAAGAACAAAGAATGACTATAAATGATGTGATGCTCAGTACTGACAATTCGGTCACAAAGCAGGCCTCAAGATTGATCACACTTTCTTCATGAAAGCTCTCATTGTATCAAAATCTTGGCATGTAAGATATCTTTGTTAAATTCTCAGGTAGAGATTTAGAGATGTATAAGTGACCACCCTTGATGATCAAAGCTAAGCAATGAAGGAAAATTCCCATGTTACGGTCCTGCAATGTTAAGCATTCAGGACGTCGTTCCCGTCCCTTGTGGTGCTTTTTCAACCCCTTGCTTTGACTTGGTAAATTGCGCTTCTCCCATTGGGGAGAAGATGAGCCCCCTGATCTGGTGCCTCTTCGCAAGAAGAGACTCAACCGAATAGTCCCGTCCCACAAGTGCAGCTTGAATATGTTTTAAGGTTAGTTAAAACTAAGCAATTAAAATCTACGCTACTGGATAAATATAAAATGAACGAGAAAATTAAATTTTAAACTTGAAATCTTGAATTGAAATATGATCATTTAAAATATTAAATTACTATCATGTCAACTTCTCCAGAAGATGCACTATCAAAACTACAAGCAAATAATGATGGATTAGTTTCTCCTAAATTAGTATCTTATATCAAAACTACAAGCAAATAATGATGAATTAGTTTCTCCTAAATTAGTATCTTATATCAAAACTACAAGCACATAATGATGAATTAGTTTCTCCTAAATTAGTACCATATGTATAAGATACTTTCGCAACCTTAGAATCTTAATGCTATCACTACCCATAATAGTGTAACTACTCTTTCTATATATGGGCTATGGTTTAGTCTAACACTTAATTAAATTGTCTTCCACACAAAGTAAAAAAGAAAGGGAAAAAGAGTACTCCTTCAAAGAACAACCCTAAATGTTGCTAAAAACACAATATTTATCCTATTATTGTTACTAATTTAATAGTATATAGTAATATGCAGGGGCTAACATATGCTCCTTTGCACATCTCATATTATGTCGCTTACATTGACATCATAGTAGGTGCAAGCTAGACATTGTTAAGAAGTATCAAAATGTTTTCTCTTCACAAATAAAGAAAGGGGGCATTTTATGAGCAAACATCTTTGAAAGAACATCAACAAAACATATTTTCTCCGAGAAAATCATTCACTAAATATATTTTATGAGTTGCGTACTACATAGAGAGTGTGAATCTTGAAAGCAAGGAAAAATCGAACGATAAAAGGAAGCTTAATCACAATTACAATTCTAAATTATATTTATAATTGAATGATATATTTAAATAAATAGAGAAAAGAAACATTGTTCTTCAGCCTTTTACTTTTCGAAATATGAGCTAGAAACGTCAAAACTTTATTGTGTGCTAACATGTTTAATGTGAAACAAACCATAATTTGAAAATTCAAATGAAATTTACTCCTCCATATTTATATTACTAAAAGAATCAATATAGCCATTCCCTCCGAGCAGTCTGATTTATACAAAAATTAGAAGCTTTTGCCTTCAACTTCTTTCAGTATAACTTTTGCCTCTTTCCTAGGACAAACTTATTCAAATCTGCAGCTGCAGAGATCAATCTCTAATTTTTCAAACAGTATCCAAACTCAAAATAATTAAAATTTAACATAGATGTAGACAACTTTTGTTGAGAAATATGCAATGATGTTGAATCTTCAGGATAGCTCAAATAAGGATCAGATTGACATCTTTAATGGAAACATGTCAAATATTAAGTTGAGGCTTGATTTCGCCATTGAGAAAGTTGTCTTGAAACTAAAAGTGTCGGCACAATAGCCATGTTTCAACAACAGCTTGCAATAGTTTCCCTTCAAATACTTATTTCGGTTGATTAGGAAAAGAAATCAACTGTACATTTTGACTTCCTATAATCCCAAATTGAGGTATTCATTCACTTGTTGGTAAGACCATAAAAAAGACCATGTTCGACATGAAACATGTACTACACATTTTACTAAGTTTGAGCTTGAACCTTCTATAACCAAATGAATATCTTATCAAATGAAGAGTTGCAATTCAACACTAATGATAAAAGAAATACAGGAGCAAAAGGAAGTGCAAATGTCTATGTTAATTGTCATTGAAGCATGAAGGAACAAATTGAATGTAAGCAACCATATGTCTAGAAAAGACAAATAGAGTTAACATTTTAGAGTTAAGGGCTAACCATCTCCAATCAATATTTACTCAGATTTGAGGGTTAACTCGGAAAAACACCTTTGTGTACTAATATACGGCTCACAACATCCATTTCAAGACAACATCCATGAATCCTACTACGAATTTGAGAAAGAAGATTCGTGAAATCACATTATACACCTATTCAACCATCAAAGTTAAGAGAGATCAAATAGATATGATGGAGTACTTCAATCCATCCTTCATTTAGTCCTCTAAGAAGTTTTCGTTTAAGAGGATGACGATTATTATCAAATTTAAGCACCCCAATAAAGTTTGAGTGGAAAAAATTAAAGAAAGAAAGCACCTCACTATATAAAGAGAAGTATATTATACATTTGAAACATATTTCTAAATATAAATGATAACAAGAGATTGAAGTTGTCCGATAGTAACATACTTATTGATTTATTGACTAATGAAGTAGAAATATTTTGTCCAAAAAACAAGGAAAAGCTTATTCAAAACTTTCACCGAACACCACATATGCATGTACAACTTCTTCATGCTTTACCTTTAACCAAAAAAGGAAAAATAGTTCATAACTCTATCATCTAGCCGATGTCCTTGGTCTTTTAAAATCTATGTATTGCCCTTATATGTTGACATTCTTTTTTCGAGAAATATTTTATCTTGATAAAAATAATGTTTACAGTTTAATGGAGTGCTGAAAAAACTGTACATTATATCTAAATTTATGCATGTACAACTTCTTCATGCTTTACCTTTAACCAAAAAAAGGTAAAAGTAGTCCATAACTCTATCATCTAGCCGATGTCCTTGATCTTTTAAAATCTATGTATTGCCCTTATATGTTGACATTCTTACTTCGAGAAATATTTTATCTTGATAAAAATAATATTTATAGTTTAATAGAGTGCTGAAAAAACTGTACATTATATCTAAATTTTTTCGCTAACACAAAGTTTAACTAATAGCAACAACTTGCAATTGAAATAGATGCAAACAAAGGACAAACCATTTCTTGGGATAAATAAATAAAATATATATAAACAACAGACATCTAGTAGAAACAAAGCACCAACCTTTTGGATCATTCACGTACAAATGAATACATAAAAGAAAATCCGTAGAAAAAAATTTAGTTAGTTTAGACATACTATCAAACACCTTAAGTGTGTCACTTAAATTGAATTAGTTGTTGCAACTACAGAATACTTGTTAGAATTTAAAAAATAAATAAGCAGAGGCACATCTAGTTACATAGATTTTAACAGCACAAACGAAAAAGTAAATTTATAAAAGAGACTTTGAGATAGAATCCAGACATGCATGAATAAATTAGAAAAAAATTGTTAATAAGTACGTATAAAATCTAATAAGAGACAATTTAAAAGTTGTCATAATGATTAAAATCAAAGAAACTGCACTAAAACAACAAAAAATTAGGGAAGAGATACATCAACAAAAATAGCACACAATTAGAAGGACGAACAATCAAGGAAGAAGAGGTGAAATTTGAGATTCCAAATAGAAAAATTAATTTTCATAGAAAAAGTAAAATGGAGAAAGAGGAGATAAATTACCAAAACAAATGATAGAGAAACTATAAGAAGAGTGAAGAACAAAGCGAATGTTGAAAAGAGAAGGATGATAGGAATCTGTAAGATAGTCTGTTTGCAATGTAAGTGGTACGTGGTTTGCTAGAGAACAATACACGTGTTAGCAGAAAAAAATAGGAAAAACTAAGTTTGTTGTACAATTCAGAAAACCTTTTGTACAACCTGCTTATGCTGTGTTCGTCCTCTAATCTGTCATTTCTAAAAAGGGGGATATATATATATATATATATATATATATATATATAAAATCTATACTGCAGTTATCTTAATATTTTAAAGATGATTTAACATTATTATCATTATTATTTTTAGGGAACTTCATTTTTTTCCTATTTAAATGATGTATCACATAAATTTATGATCAACTATTATCTCTCTTTTTTTTATGTCTTAATTCTATATATAAATAAAATGATAAATTTTTCATTTCTTAAATTCAACATCTATACAATCTTAGGATATATTTATTATGGTACATCTATAGATTTTTAGCATATAAATTGTCATAGATTTTTGGTATATTTATTTATTTATTTATTTTATTGTATCATAGATATTTTATCATAAGATTTATGTTATAAAATATTGTAGTGTGGATGTCCACTACACCAAGAAGTTACTCACCCATTTATCTTCACTATTTTCTTCATTATGAAGATGAACATAACCTCCATAACCTCCACATTTATAACCATTATTCTTGTAACCTTTTGGCTTATAACCTCCCCATTATATTCATGTTAATGTCTTGTTTATGACTAACATTTTATATGCCTCTATGTTACAATATAAATAGAGACATAAAGGTTCATATTGTATACAATTGAAGACTTGATGAATTTGAAGAATAAGAAATGTTCCCATCTTTTGTCTTCCTATTTCTATTGTTTTATCTTTTATATTTCTTGTCTTATTTTGCTTTAAGTTTACTATACGTTATCAACATGATGTTCTTCTATTGAAGGATTGAAGCAAAGAAAATACACGAAGGTAAAAATATTTGTGTTTATTTTTTCTCAAGGTAAATTACTATATAATTTATTTTATATTTTACTATTGACTATGCATCATTAATTTTCTTACCATCTCAAAATCATATGAGTCCAAAAAGTTGCTTTAACTTTTACCAAATTTTTAATTTTATAACCTATATATTTAAAAAGTAAAATTAATTTTGTAAGTTAACAATTTGTAAATAAATTTTTCTTTATAAACATGTTTTATTCAGTTATGTGGAATATACATATTGACTGGATTATTATTGTTGGTTACTTTTGCACATGTTTTTTTCTTTATCTAAACATTTACTTGTTGAATTATTAACATATTATTTGTACAAACAAAACTTGTTTTGTAGTTATTCTAAAATGGTTAGTAAATTATGATAATCTTCATAACAATGTTGAGAGGGACTACTAAAATGTTTGAATTTATTTTAACTAGGGACTTTTATAGGATTCTAACATGTCATTCTAATTAATTTATTTTATTCATCTTTGTATATTAAGTTAAGTTCAGATTATGTTTATGACTTTCGAAAATTATTTTTTTGTTAATGCATTTAATTTATTAAGTCATTGGTTGAGGGGATGGCGGTGAATTCAGGTTTCACCGCATTAAGTGGGTAAGACACCGAGTTTAAGTCTTGGTGCACCATGATAATAAGAATTTGGGTTCAAGTCTCACTGATTTATGACCAAAGGTGTCTTTATATAGGTAAGACATTGACTTAAAGTCATAATGCACTATAGTGATGATATGATGATGACTAACATAAAGATTTATACTTTTGATTGAAAGTCATAGACTTTACCAAATTAATTTTCTCCATTCTCTTATGTGAATGTGGTTGCAGTGTATTAATTTGTCTGAAAAATGACAAGTGATTCAATGTATGAACATGTGTATGGTAAAATGTTAATGGTCATCGTTGTTGTAATTAAAAAGAAGAACGCTATGATTTATGAGTTCTTAAGATGTTTCTTCAAATGTGAAGGTAATTTTATCTATTAAAATTGTATTAATTTATTGTTTCTTAATATGGTCCGTCAAGTGTGAAGGTACTTTCTAAAAGTAATTTTCATTCATGAAAGTGGTATGAGAAGTTGGACACATTGTTGTAGGTGCAACCCAATTTAAAAAGTTTTGTAAATCCTTCATCAAAATAAATGAATACAAAGTGATAGTACATTTGATACATTTGACCTCTTAAAGTGATGTTGAGGTGAGTCACATAATGCAAAAACATGACAATGAGTTTCTAATAAAAACATGTACAAATTGTTATGGTCCATTTCTTGAAGAAAATGAGACTAGTGCTTGTATGGATAAGAACAGGTTCATGTATTGTTGAATGAATGTCACATTTCACATCTACGGGAGGTTTGAGAGTTTGAAAGAAAATATTTTGACATAAATGATCATTTTGTTCATATATATACTTTTAGTACTACATAAATATTGTGGTATGTTTTAAAATGAACTATTAAAGGACAAAAGAAAGAAATAAATATTTTCTATAGGGTTGTGGTCATGATCAAAATAAATATTTTTGTGTGGCAGCACAAATTTGTCATTGGTCATCAAGAAATAAGTCTTCAATGTAATAATTTTAACCATGATACTAATCATAATTTTCTCCTTGAAGGAGATGGTCACCATAAGGGTGGTGTTGTGAAAGTTGTGGTAGTACACAAAATTAATTGATAGTTTTGAAAGGGCTAATTTGTTACTATTCGAAGGGATGAAATTATTCATAATATTGGGGTTGTAGTGAGTATCACAAGAAACTTTTTATGTTTCGGAAGTATTGAAAAGAAAAATATTATATTGAGACTATAAATTATGGGAAGATTTAATATCTTCAAATTATTACAACAAAGGTGGGTTGTAAAAATTTATGTAAGATTATCCAATTTTTTCCTCTTGTTTGTTGTATACAAACATGGACATGTTGATGGAATCACATGCAAAAGTAAAGTAGAAGTTTACTAGAATAAATATCAGTTGGCCTAATCGGTTGGCCATTTTGATTCAAATGTTATGCAAAAGAAATTGAGAATTCACGTGACTATTTGTTGAAGAAACAAAAGATTCTTCAAGAATTCTCTTTTGTAGCTTGTCATTGTGATAAAATGATAATTGTACCATCTAAGGTTGGGATTGTATCCCATGCAATTATTTCAACGCATAAAAAGGTGAATATATGTTCATTCACCTACCATGTGGACCGCTTACTATTATGATTTAATAGATGCATCTATGATATGGTCACATGTGCATTTGTATCAACTTACAAATTGATTTTTGTAAGGTTGTTTGCTCAAATTATTAAATTAAGAGCATAATTTCAAATTATAGAGTCATGTTAAGAATTTCGGTTCGTTTAGCAGAAATGGTATGCCTCCAATTCTAGCTAGACCATTGATTATGAGAACAACTCGCTCGAATAAAATTTTTGATATGAGATGAGTTTATGTAACATGAATGCATCAAGCCAACAAGATTTTTCCAACACAATTGGTTCAGGGTCAGGAACCAAATAATTTCCATCTAAAAATTTGACGTGTACACATATGATTTTATGGCTTCACCACGTACAAAGATGGATCTCCAATTGAGGTTGAGGGTGAATGTTAGATTTTATTACATTAGGGAAAGATATACGTAACATCTGAAAGTTATGTGTGGTGTGAATTATCTAGATCCTCGTTAAAAATTGTGAACTTGAATTTCAAGAGATAATTCATTTGCAAAATGTTTCAAATAATTTGCCAAATGTATTTGCTGACCCAATATTTTAATTAAGCTGCAAATGCTTCAATAAATAGTCCTTGAAGGACATAGTCTATGGTACGGCCGAAAAGTAATAGACCAATTGATTCCAAATGTAAAACTCCTTAAGGAAGTAGTGGACTAAATCATCAAAATGGTCATTGATAATAAGGTACGTGCTTTGAAAGAACACTATGACATAAAATTTCATAAAACCTTGACAAAGGTTCCGGTACCTGAAAGTGATAAAAATGAAGAGATCTCGATAAGTTATGTCGTATTGAAATCGATATCAAAATTTCCGCCGACGGTATATTTGATATGAAGTAGTACTCAATTTAGAATTGGTTACGAGGATCTTAAACTTGAAATTGAGACCCCCCTTCCATTAATATTTGGCTTAATTAACACTTACCTTATTGATTTATGACAACTTTAATTATTTTCTTGTTATATTTAGTTGGTCATATATTTGGCAAAATAGAATAATAATAAAATCTCATTAGGCTTTTCATTATTTAAGTAAAAATAATATTACTCTTCCTAATTTATTCTTACTTGTTTATATTTGGTAAAAAATAATTATTTTATGATTTGACTTTCCTTTGAATTAAGAAATTATTATATTAATTATTTTCTTAAAATATTTCTTTCCCTTATGTGTTCCCCCTCTTTGCTATATAAGTAGGACCCCTCCTTTCATTATACTAGACACTCTTTTATCACAAGTTCTACATTATTCATTAACTCCTTCTCTCTCATTTTTCATATTTGAATACTAATAATGTTGCTCTACTTTTAAAATAATTTAAGATTTCGGTAGACGTTTAAGTGCAAATGCTGTGTTCGGATCAAAAGTTGGATTATGCTTTGCTGGTTAGTGTTCTTAATTAGCATTTATATTATTTTGCATTCATATATTTAAGTAAGTTTTTTATTTTTATTTTTTTCGATATGTATGTATGTATGTATGTATGTCTTACCTTGTCTAAAATAAATATTTTTACGTGGGTCGTGTATTGTTTTCTTTGACAGGTTTTAAAACTTGAAGTTCAAGTTGAAGATTCCCTATGAGACGAGATTATATAAATTATACATTTTGATTTTGTTTCGTTATTTATTTGTAATATTCATATAAACCTCCAACCCTCTCTATATATGAAATAACCTTGGCATCGACGGGT